ATTCAATATGGTGATAAAGTATATTGTATGTAAAATAAGATAAATTTAATGTTATACTGATATTTTGTAGAGAGAAATACAAACAGAAGAACAGCACAGTATTTGACTATGCCAAATTGGCAAAATTGTGGAATTTTGAGGTACGGTATGTTTAATTGAATAGATCTGACGCTTTCAGCTGATGACTTGCCAGTGATCATGATAATCTGTATTATAATAAATAAATAATAAAGATGTTAAAGTATGGCAAAGAACAAATGTGGTCAATACAAACCTACATGAACTGTTATGTATTGTATAATTTGCTTTAAAATACAGATGAAAGAAATTCTGGGAAATGTAATGAAAACTAAAATTTTATCAATCTTCTTCTTATTGTTGTTAGTTGCGAAGTCAGGTCCGACCCATCGCAACCCCATGGGCAACATTCCTCCAGGCCTTCCTGTCCTCTATCATCTTCTGGAGTCCCATTTAATCTCACGCCGACTGCTTCAGTGACTCCATCCAGCCACCTCTTTCTCTGTCATCCCCTCCTTCTTTTGCCCTCAATCTTTCCCAGCATTAGGTTCTTCTCCAGTGAGTCCTTCCTTCTCATTATCAATCTAAATTATGGCAAATTGAGAAATAAAATAATTTGTACAATATTTATTTTTTGTTCTTTTTTTATTTTGAATAGTTACAAATACACTGCTATTAATTTGCATTTCCATTTTAAATCACAATTATATCACATCTGCGATAGATTATCATCTGTTGCTATGCATAACTGTTTGCAAAACTGCTTGCAAAAAGAAAAAAAGCTGTTGAATGAATTGATTACCTTCCACTGTTCAGTAAAAAAAAAAAAAAAGTGACCATAGTGATTAAATTCAGACTGAAAAGTACTTTGGGAAGACCATGAATTGAGAGCAATCCCTCTAAGAATATATGTTAAATAGTAATAAAAATATATAGTTCTATTTTTATTTTTTTTCCCTCTGTATTTCTAATTGTAATGTAAATTACAATTAAAATTATGATCATATGTGAATAGGATAAAACAAAATAGGGTTTCCTTATACATATTCAGGTTTCATCTTTCTTATTGAAGAACAGGTGTTAATATGAAAAATTTTCAAGAGCCATTAATTAACTATTGACAGAATGGCTCTGGAAAATAAATTGATTTTAAAAGAAGCACAGGGTAGGCTAGCAATTAGCAGATTGACAGTGTCATGATTTTTCACATAATATAAAGCCCAAATTATAACTTCTTTATTTCATTCAGACAATGTTCATGCAATTTATAAGTGGAGTTAGTGCCATGAAGCAAATTATGTTGCTTAGCTTTCCACATGATAGCATGTACATGATAGCAACTTTTTTTTACATAACATCCAATGTTCTTGTCAAATTGACTTTGATAAAACTTTTCTTTTCCTGTATTTCAAACGTATAGAATTAAAAGGTTAAGCTATAACCATACCTTTAAATAAAGGATGCAATATTTCAGCGGTTAAAGATGCTGAGTTTGTCTCTTGGAGCTGACAGCCCATGTTCGAGACCCGAGGGCTGCATGATGAGTTGAGCCCCATTACTTGTCCCAGCTCCTACCTACCTAGCAGTTCAAAAGCAAATGTGAGTAGATAAATAGGTACCATTTTGGTGAAAAGGTAACAACATTCCATGCATCTTCTCATATAGTCATGCTGGCCAGATGACCATGGAAATGTCTTCGGATAATGCTGTCTCCCTTGGCCAAGAAATGGCAATGAGCACTGCCCCCTAGAGTCAGACATGACTGGACAGTAAAACTTTGACCTTTATGTATTTAAATGGGAACAAAAATTCAGATTTTTGAAATCACACAGTAGAACATTAAAAATGTAAAAACATACATTGTGATGTCAAGAACCTTTTGCATTTAAGTGCCAATGTTGCATCAAAATGTGCAAGCAAGGGTTTTTTCATGGTATCGCAATGCATGTTACATCCCAACAGGCAACTATGAGAGGAATGGAAATAAAAGTAATGTGCAGCCAACTGTCAGTTAAAAATATATATCCCTACAGCACAACTATATACATTCTTATTTCTATACAAAACCCACTTTTTCTAATACAGTTTCCTTCCTAACAAATGATTCTAGGAATACAATCTAAGAATTGAAATCAGTGCATTTGCTTCTAATTATCAGGTTTAGGATTATTCTATAAAACATGTTCTTCAAATACTAAGTAAACAAATAAATATGTACATAGATTAAATAGCATTTGTGCATAGGGTTTATATTAAAATAATGCATGTATTCACCTTTAATTGGTTTAATAGACAATTCTATCTTTTTAAACCATTCATTTATTATAGGCTGGATTCAAGGAAAGCGAGTTAATAAATCACTATTATTTTTTCAAGGGGCTTGCATTACAAAATCATTTCTACTATCTTGCCTTTTTTTCTCCACAACCTTGCAGACCATGCGTCCTGATTTTGTGCTCCCAGACCAAGATAGCCATTTATTAATCATTCTTGTGGTTAGTCACATAATCATAGTTGACGGGGTGTGTGTGTATGTGCAGGGGTGGGTTCTACTTACCTTTACTACTGGTTCGCAGCGGGGCATGGAATCATTCACCAAACATATCAACTCTGTGGACAGATAAATCAAATTCACATGGAAAAATGTTAAGAAAAATAATCTAGCCTTCCTGGAGTGTGCAGTACACATTAAGGAAGACAGAAACCTTAACATTGAAGTTTACAGAAAACCCTCCCCAAACAGATCAAAATTTACATTTTGATTCTCACCACCCACTGGAGCACAAAATGGGAGTTATCAAAACCCTACACCACTGAGCTGAAGGCTTACTAGCAAAGAAGGGAAAGAAAAAGAACTAAAACACACCAAGGAAGCCCTCAGAACATGTTGCTATCCCAAGTGGGCCTTCATCAAATCTCAAAAAAGACCCTACAGGAGCTCCTCCATTACAGACAAAGAACAATAAACAAAAAAATATTGTCATTCCACATGTTGCAGGAATATCTGAAAAGCTCAGGAGGATATTCAGCCAATATAACATACCTGCACACTTTAAACCTAAGAATACACTAAGGCAGAAGTTTGTTCACCCTAAGGATAAACACCCAGACACAAACTGAGCAACATAGTATATACCATATAATGCAGCGAGACATGCAGATCTGTACATTGGGGAAACAAAACAACCACTTCATAAATGCAGAACGTAGGAGAACAAACCCACCAGGACAAGATTCAGCAGTCCATCTGCATTTAAAAGACAAAGGCCATTCTTTTGAAGACAGCAAAGCCCACATTTTGGACAGAGAGGACCATTGGTTTAAAAGAGGGATCAATATGTCAAAATTGAACAACTCTCTCTCAACAGAGGGGGTGGGATACGACATCATCTATCTCCAATGTGGATGCTTCATCACTGGAAGCTTTCAAAAAGAGGCTGGGCAATCATTTATGTGAAATAGTATAGGGTCTCCTGCTTAAGAAATTGTGATATCGAATGAATTGCTTAATGACCCCTAAATAAAGATGGAACGGTAAAATAAAAACCCTGTACAAAAGAGGATATTTTCCTCTTTAAAAATGCTGTAACTGTTTTTTTTAAAATCATAAGATGTCATTATAATCTTTTTACATTATTAGCAATCTAAACAATATCAACGTCATACATTGTATAGATGTTTGTGAAATACAGGATAAAGTTCTCTTTTGCTTGAGCTATTTTCTTCCAATATGGTTGAGTTGACAAAAGGACAATCCATACTTCATTTTGCTTCCCTTTCACTAAACTTTTGAAGAAGTTTGTTTTAACAAGCTGGCTTTCCAGTAGGAACAATTATTGAGTAAAAAAAGTTTTAAACAAATAGAGGACAAGGTCAAACATTATGACCCTGCCTACGATGTTTATGCATCCTATTTATTCCAACCTTGATTTTCCTCCCTTCATCAATTGACTGTGCTAATATGAAATAGAACTATACTCACCGAGTTGTCTCGGTGAGATTATGATTCTGTAGGTGATTTTGGAACCTTGCTTTATTAAGCTTCTAGTCACATAGAGCCCTTTTCCATATTCACACAAACTTGAATACATCCAGATCACTTCATGAAGATTTAGAGAGCAAAGTGAGAGAGAAGACTGCAGAGGTCAGGTCCAATGTGCCAGACCTCTAAACAGATGAAAGCGTTTCTTAGGAATTAATTGTTATCCTGCTCCAAAATATCTCTCAGCTCTGCTTCCATAATTAATTGTTCTTTTATTTCTTCAAGTTTAACTATCTAATTATTGGAGCTCCATCATTCAAAATGCAGCACAAGACAGATTCCTCCTACCCTCTCAAAAAATCCCCGTAATTAGTTTTTTTGGGGATTGTAATGCTATTCACATTAGTTGTTCTTCTCTTTTGCTAAAGTATTTTTTTTAAAGGTAAAATATATATTCTCCCTTGTGTGGAGCATAAGCCATCCTGTCTTTTGGCCCCTTGAATCACAGAGAACAATTGACCTGACATTACCCATGGCTTTTTAGCTGTGCAAAGGTTTCACCACCTAGTAGTACAGTTTAACAACCTGAGATACTGTGTGCATATAAGTTTTATCACCCAAGAACCATTTCTCTCTGCTCCTTGGAACTTTTGTGATAATCCCTGTATACCTGTAGGCAAGGAGAAGACCTATTGCGTTCGCTGGAAAGATCTAAGATACTCTTTTAACCCTATTTTTTTCTTTGGGGGGAATCTGAAACACTTCCACAGAGTTTAATGAGAGCATTAATATTTTATTAAACATTTTTTATCAAAGCCAATTTCATTTAGTAGTTGTGGAGTGGCACTGAGTATGAACAAGCATTGAATTTTAAGTTGTTCAGAGAGAATACAGAAGATCTTTGCTTATAATATTCTTTGAATTAAACAAAAAATACTTAACTGGTGATACTTTCTGTTTACAGACATCTCAGTCTGTAACCTCATTACACACCAGTAGCTTTTTTCAAATGATTTTATTTTGCTTTATTGCACTAGAATGATTTCACCCGAAGGAAGAACATCCAAACTCTTCAGTGACTTTTGAAGCTTGGCTGATTTTTTTTCCCCTACACAATCAGCTTCCTTTGCTCTCTTTCAGCCAATCTTTGGTTGACATAATGTAGGAGGATTTACCACTCAGAATAATATTTATGATCCAAAGTTAAATTCTTTTCAGTCATGATTCCTCTGAGAAAGACTTTTGATCGAAATATATCCATGCATGAAAAGGAGAACTGGCTGTTAAAAGAATGCTGTTGAAAGAACAATAGAAAAGTATAATTAGATTGGAGAGGAAATTCTTCAGTGTCTTCAAATGATAAACCAGTGGTTTATGGGCACTGTAAAGCAAGCTGCCTGACAAACAGGAAGAAAAGGGGATTTTGTTTTTTCTACTCCTTTCCAAAAGGAAGGAAGGAAAGCAGCATGGAAAAAAAATGCAATCAGCGCATTACTATATAAAAATAATTACTGAAAAAATGGCATACATTTATATTACTGCTGATTGTAATATATACCGATAAATATAGGAGAAAATGCAAATACATTAGTAAGATGGAAGTGCTGCTGTTGCCTACAATTAACCACAGATTAGTAAAGATAGATACTTGCTTATTACAAGTATTGAAGATGCCTGTGCACTGTGTTGAACTGTGACCCATTTCTATTAGAAGTACCTCAGAATAATCAAGGCACTACATGCCCAGAGTAATACATCAGCCACACATTCTTGCCCATGGGAGAAAATTCAGGCTGTGACACACCATTTCAGATGTCCAACTAATTATCTATTTCAGGACTGTCAAACTCACGGCCCATGGGCCGGATGCGTCACACGCTGACCACGCCCATGCAGAGTTTAGCGAGTTTAGCACAGTTTTATTGTGAAAAAAGTCACAATACATCACATGATGATGCCATGATGATGCAAGTTTGACATCCCTGATCTATTTATTAATTTGTTTTGGGCAGAAGAAGAATGTGTAGAAGAATGTGTAATATTTTTCTTCTTCTTCCCTTTCCTTAAACCAAAACAGAAGAAGTATAGTGGCTCACCAGAGCTGAGGAAAGGTACTGAGTTGACTAATCAGTAAACACTCAACTTGGGGAAGAGATGAATGCAATTTGTATTCCTTGACAGTTTTTGCACTACCTCAGTTGGTTTGAGGTCCCAGATGGCTTGGAGCAATTAAATGTTATATAAGTCATTTGTTATCTGTCTCTGTCTCTCTATCTTCCTCTCTCTCTCCCTCTTTCCTCTTCTCTCTCTCTCTCTCCCCTCTTCTCTCTCTCTCTCTCTCTCTCACACACACACACACACCAGGGGTGGGTTCTATTTACCTTTACTACCAGTTCGCAATAGGGTTGCATGCGGACGTGCGCAAAGTAAGCACGCGCGCATGCTCTTCTGCGCAAACGCAGAAGCATTTTCTTGACGTCAGGGACAGTGGGCAGAGCCTCCCGCTGGTTTTACTACTGGTTATATAGAACCAGTGCGAACCAGGGGCAACCCACCACTGACACACACAGATTGTTTTATGTTAGCCAGACATATCCATTTCTATATTACTTGTGATTATTTGATGATTAGTTGTAGTATTTCTAGAGATAGCAAATGCGGAAGAAGAAAAAAAGGAAGTGGGGCCAAAAAAAGAGAGGGAGATGGTGAAACCAGAAGACCATGAGTTCTAGCCCCACCCGGTGGCGCAGTGGTTAGAATGCAGTACTGCAGGCTACTTCTGCTGACTGCTGGCTGCCTGCAATTTGGCAGATTGAATCTCACTAGGCTCAAGGTTGTCTCAGCCTTCCATCCTTCTGAGGTCAGTAAAATGAGGACCCAGATTATTGGGAGCTGACTCTGTAAACTGCTTAGAGAGGGCTGTAAAAATGCTGTTGAAGCGGTATATAAATCTAAGTGCTATTGCTATTAAGCATAAATCTATCTGGGTGACCTTGAGCCTCTCTCTCAGCTCTAGGAAGAATCAACAGCAAACTACATCTGAAATCTTGCCAAGAAAACTGCAGGGATCTGTCCAGGCAGTCACCAAGAATGAAAACAGACTCAAAGGCAACAACAACAACAACAACAAAAATCCAAACAAACTTGGGGCTTCAAACTAAGCATGTGAGTTGGATTCAATCAAAAAGCATGTAGTCATTAAAACGTGTTCAGGATGTTTTCAGCTGCTTCTACTTTCAAGATGAAAATTTGAGTTCTCTCTCCTGATTTTCAAGGTGAGAATTGGTGGCAGAGTTAGACTCAAAGAGAAAAAAATAAAATAAAAGGCTATGCTATCTCTAAGGCCATCTTTTTTTTCTGCAATAAAAAAATAAGAATTTAGATTCTCTTCACTTCTTGGATGACTTTTAGACAATGAAATGTACTCATTCTTAGGCTGGTTGAAAGATTGAAAAATTGAAAGAAAGTACCCTATTAATAATCCAGTATTTTTCTCTGTGTTTCATTGAGTTATTTCTGTGAGACATATATTTGCATGAATATATTATAGTAGCTTACAAACCATTCTGCTTTGGAGTAAAGTTCATTATTCCACAATCTTATGACTGAGAATTTGTCTAGCCTGCTTTGAGTTAGCTTCTTTTTCTTATTAAGTTCAATGGAAAAGTAAAGGCTGGTTCTTAACCTAAGTAATTCATCCTGAATAAATGCAGTGAATATAATAAATACTTGTCAGTAATTAGCACCAAGGACACATTATTCATCCCACACACTGGCAGGCAAGGGAATCTTCCAAGAGTGCAATAATATTTTATTGTCATTCATGTAATGGATCCACTCAAACAGAAACTGACATATGTAGAAGCTTCTTGAAAGATATTGTAGCTTATTGTTAACATTAGATATGTGGCTTGGCTGTTTTCTACAATTAGTTGGTGTACTGGCAGTGAAGAAAACCTAAAGATGTTTTGGAAGATGCTCTGAGATCACTGGGTTATAATTTAAAAATTCATTTGTCAGCACACAATTGGCACTTCTTGAAAAACAAGGGGAAATAGTTCCCAACTATAACCTAAAAATAAAACTACTAGAAAATTTAGTTCAATCTTTATGTTTAGGAGAACTTGACTTTTATATACCTGATTACATTTCCAAGGCAATCTCTATGTACCATTAGAGAAATATAGAAAAATGTTTTTGTCTTATCTACCATTTATTTAGGGACGTGGTGGCTCAGTGGCTAAGACACTGAGCTTGTCGATCTAAAGGTCAGCAGTTCAGCGGTTCGAATCCCTCATGCCGTGTAATGGGCTGAGCTCTCGTTACTTGTCCCAACTTCTGCCAACCTAGCAGTTCGAAAGCACGTAAAAAATGCAACTAGAAAAATAGGGACCACCTTTGGTGGGAAGGTAACAGTGTTCCATGCGCTTTTAGCATTTAGTCATGCCGGCCACATGACCACGGAGACGTCTTTGGACAGCGCTGGCTCTTCGGCTTTGAAATGGAGATGAGCACTGCCCCCTAGAATCGGGAATGACCAGCATGTATGTGCGAGGGGAAGTTTTACCTTTACCTTACCAGTTATCTAGATTTCTGCATCTCAGATCTTTTAGGCATAATTCCATATTATTGCAGATATTGTGTTGCAGTTCTCAGTTCAAAAAATGTGTCAAGTTGACTGAAGTTTTGAACTATGTGGTCAACTTAGTTACAAATAAATCTAAGAGTGGGACAATAAATTTTTCTGTGGTTAAGAACTGTGGTTAACCACAGAGGGTGAAATATTGTCACATATTTTGGCAGGGCTACAATTTTCAAGAATTTCCCATGCTTCCAGCATTAAGATTTTTCAGTGCCATTTTTTAGCAACCCTGACATGAAAGTGACAGGAAGGAGTTGCCTCCTGAAGCTCCATTGCTGGAGGTATTCAAAAATATATTGAATAATTATTTGTCCAGAATGGTATAAGGTCTCCTGCCTTGGTCAGGGGATTGGATTAGATGTCCTCCAAAGTCTCTCTTCCAGCCCTATGAATTTATGATTCGAAGGAAAGAAGTACGTGTTCCCTTTCTTTTTTGTTTTAATGAAGTATTCTTGGGATAATTACCCTCATCTTGAATTCAGGTACATGCTCAACAGAAGTAAAAATGTTTCAAGTAGTGTTTTGATATTCTGTAATTTATTTTAGCTGAACATATTTGCATCCTCTCTACAGATCTTAGCCAGACTAAAAAAGTGAAAGAAGGAGGGAGTGTATATAATTGCCCGCTTGTCCTCTGTATGCTACCTTCATTGCACAAACAGGTTTCTAGTTTATTACATGAAGCAGGAGAAAGTTGAATACCATGTATCTTTCCTCTTTTTTCCCCTTTCCTTTCCTTTCCTTTCCTTTCCTTTCCTTTCCTTTCCTTCCCTTCCCTTATTTCCTTTCCTTTCCTTTGCTTACGATTTATATTGATTGTTTCCTAGTATGATTTGATTGCTTATTTATACCCTATAACTATCATTAAGTGTTGTACCTTATGATTCTTGATGAATGTATCTTCTCTTTTCATGTACACTGAGAGCATATGCACCAAAGACAAATTCCTTGTGTGTCCAATCACACTTGGCTAATAAAGAATTCTATTCTATTCTATTCTATTCTATTCTATTCTATTCTATTCTATTCTATTCTATTCTATTCTATTCTATTCTATTCTATTCTATTCTATTCTAATTCTACTATACCCTACCCTACCCTACCCTTCCCTTCCCTTTTCCCTTCCCTTCCCTTCCCTTCCCTTTCCTTTTCATTGCACTTTATTCTGCTCTACTTAGCTTAATATAATTAACAAAAATTTCCAGAAATTAGCAACAAAATCAATAAAACAGCAAATGCATTACGTAATACAGATAGAAAATGACTTATCAGTGAGCACTGCATCCTACAGGCCTGAAGAAGCTCCTAATAATATTAGAGGAATATATGTTTACAAATGAATCCTCTGTCTTGATGTTATCTTCCATTACCTTACATGTGAGATCCTTTTTTTTAAACCTAGAGATTCTACAGACTCAGTCTGGTATTTCCTGAACATCAAAAAGAGATGTTCCATCACTGAAATATTATAGTATCATGGTGCATAATAACAAAGACTGGTCAAGTTAGTTAGCCATATGTGGTATCAATAATAAGTAAAAATAATAATGAAAAGAAAAGATCTGCAAGTATCTTTCCTCAATGCCTGGCACTACCAATACAACTATTAAAAATAAGAAATTAAGTAATTAAGTAATAGTGCACTTCTCTTT